CATGGAGACCAGCCGAGGTCTCAGCCAATGGCAGCACGGCCATGGAGACCAGCCGAGGTCTCAGCCAATGGCAGCACGGCCATGGAGACCAGCCGAGGTCTCAGCCAATGGCAGCATGGCCATGGAGACTAGCCGAGATCTCGGCCAATGGCAGCGGGGCTACGGACAGCAAAAACTCATTGTCATGGCCAATTTAATGTTCAACTCGTCGGTTACAAAACAGCGTTGCAGGAATGCACCAAGAACTTTTCAAATGGGGCTGAATGTGAAATATTACAACACAAATGCCTTCTTCACTCTGCAGAATGTCCCCATAACCAGAAATGCACTGAATCAGCAGGAATGAAGACTGAATGTTTCAGTGAGAACAGCACAGAAGACGGAGCAGCCGTTAGCGTTAGCGTTAGCGCGCTCTCCCGTGAAGTCCGCTGTAAGCAGCTGGGCCACATGGACAGCCCGCTGTCTGTCACAGAGCCATGACAGCACACGCGTGACCGGGCATCCCTCCTGTCCCACACACAGGCGGTGGCATGGCAGGCACCAGCATGGAAGCACGGTGAGCCTAAATCCCAGAAGGCTGCAGACGCTGTGCTCTGTGCAAACCAGACGGTGCGTCAAACATGCTAAACATGCTAATGCACCTGCATAACTCACACGGCACCAATAAGTAAATGCAGGGCCCCCGTTCCGGAAGCCTTCTGCTTTCACGGCCCAACCCATTCTGCTCAGCTAACCGTAGCTCAGACGGCTGGGTTTGAGCTGCGCTGCCCCCCACCCCCCAAACACACGCACACAAAAAGCCCGATCTGCTCTCGCAGTGTAAGATCCAAGATCGCAGGGTAAAGGAACATCACTCACCCCCAGGACAAAAGCTCTAAGTGCCATTCCCATGTGCCTCCATGCGCTCACACCAAGCTGATGTCAGAGCCTATCCCCCCCCCCACCCCCCTCCCATTACTGCCCAGAAGTAGGGCACGCACGAGCACGGGAGGGGACCGGCCTGTCGGCCGCAGCCTGCCCATGGAGGTGAGCCGCACACACTGCCAGGACAGAAAAACAGGCGGCGTGATGGACGTCACTTGCTGAGCCCCCCTCCCCCCGCCCGCCATCGGGGCACGGCTCAGGACCAGCCCATCCAGCTCCTCGGGAGCGGGTGCCGTGTCCCGGCGCGTTTCCAGCTCAAAAGTCCACATTCTTGGCTGCTGCCATAAAGCAATTCATCAGCTGGTTTATGGTGTGGGCATGTGGCTTAGGTGGGTGTAAGAAGGAACTGCCAGCGTGTGCCTGAACACACACACACACACACACAGATATACAAAGAGACACACACACATGTACAAAGAGACATTCAGAAATATACAGACACACACTGATAGACACACTCAGTGATACAATCACACTCAGAGCTATACAGACACACACACAGAAAGATACACACAGACAAAGATGTACAGAGACACACACACACTCACACAATGACATACACAATGACAGACACAGACACACACACACAGACACAGACACAAACACACACACAGACATACAGAGTGAGCTGCTCCCTTTCTACCGACGCTCGTACCTCGGGACTCATGATCAGAATCCATGATGCACATTCTCCCCCATGCGCACGGACGCCCCCAGCCGCCCCCTCCCTGACTTACTGATCTTCTCTTCGCCTCTGGAGAAAGGGAAACAGCACAACTGTCCCATGGCGGCACGTGTGCTGGCCCCGCTCTCCTCTCCCTCTCCCTCGCTCCCTCTCTCCCTCTCCGCCTTCCTCCAGCCCAGCAGACACGCAGGCCACCTCCACGCCGCTCGACAGGAATGGGGGCTCCGGTGCAGAGCGCCGCCGTCTGTGGCGAGCGAGCGAGTGAGCAAGAGAGGGAGACTGCGAGCAAGGGAGGGGGGGAGATGGAGGGGGAGTGGTCCCAGACTCCACCTCCTGCCTTACGCTTCTCTCTGATTGGACAGGCGCTGTCCTGCAGCCTCCCAACTGCCAGGGGGTGCGTGTGTGTGTGTCTTATAAGCTGAACATTCACACAGCACACAGACACACAAGAAATAGCTGCTCTCTCTTTGCGGATCTCTCTTTTAACACAAATACTAATAACTTCCCCAGAGTGCCAAGCAGCATTGCTGCATGCCACATGTTTTATATATTTCTATTGTTTATTTAATCAAAATAATGAAGATTGGTTCAAACTCTGATAGCTGACCATGTTATTAATAGAACCCATGGTGGAGCACTAATACAAAGACCGCAAGGCATCAGGGTTCTTCATTATTTTGATCACAGTGTACTGCCTATGAACCGCTCTGAGGAGGCTTGATGCTGCTGAAAAAGATATAAAGCACTGTGCTTTATATCTTTTTCATGCGTAGTGTTTATTTCTTGAAACGGGCCATTCTAGTACGCTCGAGCTCTTGCGGACTGGAGGATGTCTTATCAGACATCAAACATTAAAATGGTTCAAATGTCTTATGAGACATCAAACGTTAAAAAGGTTCATACAAACAGATGGTGCAAACTGCAGTAAACTTCCAAATGGCACTGCATAAATCACCTTCACACTGTCGGCTCTACAGCACTGCGTAAATCACCTCGACCAACAATCCCCTCAA